CAAGAATCAAAGTCCAAAGCAAAGAAAGGACAAATTTGGGCTTTGCCATGCCCAAACCGGCCAGACCGGTTTCCCTGTGATGTGGCTCGGGCAGAGAGCCTGGGCCCGTGAAAACCAACCAGGCCGATTTTCCTACCTATTCCAAGTCCGATTTATTTCCAAATTAGTTTTGGATCTATTTTTAATGTGAGAAACTTGGAGATTATGTGTTAGACATGTTTTCTATTGGAATAAGACTCCCACCTCTATATAAACGAGAGTATCATGACCGATTGAGGAATCCAACTTCCAATCGTCGAAAAAACACATTTACTACCCCTTTTGGCCTCTCTCTATGCTTACTATTCTTCATGTCTCTCGATGAGATTTGGCGACGTTCTAAGTGATCTTGCCGATCCTAGGACAACCTCGTTGTGCCCCTCCTTGATGGGTCTTCTCATTGTGTTCACGAATCTACCAAGCAAAGAAATGAGCTTCGAATTGGCTTAACCAGTTTGCTGGTCGGTTTCGCTGATTTACTGCGTTCTTGCTGCGATCAAGATCGTGTGCAATCTTAGGCATGCTAGCCCTTGCTGGTATGTGACCTAAATCAGTGTCAACACATTTTTTGGCAACTTCGCTGGGGAAGAAAAAGAATAACAAGAACAAATCTACACTACTACAAAAATAATTTTTATCAACGGGAGCATTTTTTGGTAGAGGCGGCTCAATGCCCTATGAACCAAGCCACCTCTGAAGATGTGTATTTAGAGACGATTCCAAATCCAGCTACCTCTACAAATTCATCTTCAGAAGTGGCTGGTGTTACCAGCTATCTCTGAAAATAGGGTGATACACCCGCCGCCTCTGAAGATCGTTTGTAGAGGTATAGAGCCACCTCTATAAATGGTCCAGTGTATATGTAGTAGCCCACTTCTTCCTCCTCAGGAAATTTACTATAACTCGAGGTGGAAGGAAGGAGGGCCTTGGGCTATCTCCCAAAAATTACAAATCTAAGGGGGGAAGGTTTTGATTTTGATTCCTTTGGTGGAGGAGGCTTTAGAATGTAAGTACATGCTAATCCAAGTCTCTTTTTGCAGTTTAGTGGTTTTCATTTTCTCTCTCTTCCATGGCGATTTAGGCATTTGTGAGTGCATTTATATCAAATCTTTGAAGGTTCTAGGGTAAATTTAGTAGGGGAATAAGATTCTACTAAACTTTAGCGGCCATGTCTTCATTTTAGTGGTCTATTTAATAGTTTTTAGGGAGGGATTGGTTTGCATCTAGTTCTAGAACTAGGGTTTGAGATTAGTTTCTTTATTGTCAACATTGATATTTTTTATTTAGTAAATGGGATTAAGTTTACATGAACAATAACGGATGAAATATTAATTGGTGCCAATTATTTTCTATAAAATCATCCATTTCAATTAACAAAAGTTAAAAAAATACTTGTTTAGTGATTAGTTTCTTAACTAGGTTGTTTTAATCTCTTGCATGAAGAATATGTAGTACCTATATGTGTATTTTACGACAACAAGATAATGAAAAATTGAACAATATTATCTATAATTTTAAATAAGAATGACTTTCTATAATTATATTGTTAGATACTAATTATATTCGTCTGGGTTATTAATTATTCTTATATCTAACTTAGTCTTTTTATTTTTTGATTTGTTGGTGTTTGTAGGAAAAGATGGAGTACAGGAAGTCATGGATGTATGGTTCTTTAAAGTGGAAGCCATGTTTCGGACAAAAAGTCGATATATTTCTTGAAGCCGTAGAGAAAGCGCATACAATAGCGACAAAGAACATAATCGGAATTCTTTGTCTGTATAAGGATTGCAAGAACCATCTCACATGGGATGATGTGGCTGTAATTAGATCACACTTGATTGTGCGAGGTTTTGTGAAGGACTATACAGTTTGGATCCATCATGGTGAAACACCCGTTAACATTGAGACACGAGAAGCAACTACAGAAGAGAGCTTGATTCATTTATAGATGGGCTTGATGCAGAAGTTTTCAGTGCCCGTGAACAATTTAGTGTTGGTGGTGGTGGTTGGGCTACTGAGGAAGAAGCTTGTGGGAATTATGGTTGAGGACGTTTGGAGGACGAAGCTAGTGGCAATAATGACAACGTAGGACGTGAGGGGGATAAAGCTGATAGTGATTATTTGGAGAAAATGCTTCAGGCCATTGGATCATAGGTGATACTCAAGAGTGCAAAAAGTCTAGAAAATTTGAAAAGGGTAAAAACAACGAAGGAGAGTTTGTATGGTATTGAAAACAGCGCTACGTTTTGTGCTTGAGCTCCTCATCCTGAAGGCTAAGTAAGGTTGGTCGGACTACAATTTCAATGATTTGTTGTGTCAGGGTCATAACCCCGGGGTGTCTCAAGGCATCGATTAGTCAGCAGACCACGTGGCCCGCAATACATCAGCTAGCGAAGGCCCGAACGACCGAAGCCTAGCTAAGTCAGGCGAACGAGGCTGGACGCTAAGGCTGGGGTTAGCCACGACCCCTCCTTCGTACCATAGCCACACGGCGTCGGAAAGGCGCACGACTCCTCCCCCATCATGACCCCTGGAAGGAACGGAGAGAGGTCGAGCCCAGCCAAGCATGCCTACTCAGACAAGAACAGGCATGCCGCACTAGCCCCGCAAGGACCGAGGGGACGGCAATCACCTCGGTCCAGTCAGATGCCATCCCTGTGCCACGCCGCACAGACAAGACAATACCGCCCAGGGCAGGTGATGACAGGTACGATAACCACCGGCCGGATATGGCCCGACAAGACATGGGTACGATCCCACCCACTACGGGATGGGATCCACGACGAGGGCTTTGACATAGAGGCCATTCGAGCTGGCGGGAACCACGATCCCAGCGACAGGGGTCGTGGCCCCCCACTCCTTAAGACAACGAGGCGATCCACAACCCAGGGGCGGCCACCAACTCCTGTACGTCACTCCAGGAAACCAGGAGATGATGATGAAGACCACGGCAGAGACCAAGTCACACAGGACGGCTGGCGAACCACCATCGTGCCTATAGTGCCACCATGGCCGACATAGTAGCACCACGCCACATCATGCCGCAACGTGGCCACAAGACCATGACGAAAGCCATGCCCAGACGATGTAGCTTGCAAGCCAAGTTAGCTAGGACCCCTCCCTCATGCTCACGACCCTTCGGTCGGGAGAACCTCCTCCATTGTATGCGCCCTAGCCCCGAACTCTATATAAGGGCAGCCAGAGCACCTGTCTCAGGACATTCTAAGTCCCCTACTCATTCACTCACTCTCCAGGTTGCCCGTCTCCTAGCTCTAGCTCTTCTTCCTCTTCCACCATTGTTGCACCCCATTGTAAGAACTTCAGAGCATTCAAGCGAGGAACACGCACTTGATCATCTCTGAGACACGTAGGGCTCTAGCCTGAACCAGTATAACTCCTCGTGTCTTTTGGACTCTGTCATCGTCTTCCTAGAGTAGCGCGACAATCGTATAAGTTTACTAGTCCGGTTTACGAAATACCGACATGTTGCGTCTCTTGTCATGGTTGCTCCCGCGGCCAAACTTAGTTTCGGCCAACACATATGAAGCGAAGAAGCTTATAAGTATCTAATATAGGCTTCCAAGGTCTGAGACTATATGACAGCGAGCATTTTAGGCCACGAAGAGCACATAGATGTATGTGACAAGGTGCTTAGAGGAGGCAAAACACTGATTCGGTGCCACGGTGGAGCTAGCATGAGCGTCAAAAGGGTAAAGTCGAAGGGTTTAAGGCCTGTTTTGTAGAGCTCCACCAGCTCCAGATTCACCAAAACCGTCTAGATTCAACTTTTGTAGCCAAACGCTTTTAGATCCAGCAGCTCCATCGTGTATCTGCTCCACCAAAATGGTGGATCTGCCCCTAGATTCACCAAATTTGTGGAGCACCCCAAGGGGTGCTCTACCAAATCCAACTTTGGTGGAGTTGAAGAAAATTACTCACCATGCCACCAAATCCAACTTTGGTGGAGTTGAAGAAAATTACTCACCATGCCACTGATTACACAAAAAACAGTTCATTCTATTCTTTCTCGCTCCACGCCATCACCATGCCACTTTTCTTTCTTTTTTTGCATTTTGCCCCCTAGTACATGGGGCCCATGTGGAAGTGAGATAGAGATGAAGGTGGAGCTATACCAAACGCTTTGACGAATCTCAAATCCATAGTGGAGCTGCTCCATGGTGGATCCAGGTGAATCTATGATTCAGATTTACTTTTTTTCATTGGCGGAGCTCTACCAAACATGCCCCGAAGACTATAATTATACTCCTAGCATTGAATCCGGTAAACATGATGAAGTGCCAGATCAGCGTAAGGAAATACTAGTCTCAAAAGGGGAAAAAACATGAGTTGGGCCATGGGGCTACAACCCACTATGTACTGCTTCTTCTATAAAGTGGGCTTGATCTGTGTTCCTTCGGTGCTTGTGTCCTATGTTTTTCAACTTCTTTTTCTTACGGGGCATATTGACTAACATGTATGTTTTCCCTAGGTTTCTTATGTTTTTATAAAGACGTAATATGATTTTGAAAAGTCTACTGTTACATACATCATCGGCGGTTACTTTTAAATCAATTTGTATTAAAAAGATACGTGGATATACGATCATATTTGTAACTTTTATGTACTATGTAAGCATGCATATATACTGTTGAAAATTTACAGTTTGATTATTCCAAATCCTAATGCCTTGTGATGGGGCTTCTTCCATTAGTTGTAGATAGGAATCGGATGTAGCTAGATTGCTGCAGCAATCCATATAGTACATCAGGTCGGAGTATCAAATTTATAAAAGACTTGATGATATATATGATTTCATATATATATCGAACTGCTGATTGTTTAATTTCTAGGTAAGACCGGCCTAATAATTTAGTCGGGTATGTATCACTGACATGTCATGTGTATCCATGCATCACCAAATTGAATGGTTCGTTCTATGAAGAAGAATTGCAAGCAAGCAGCTATTTGTTGCCGCCGTGCTGCTGGTGATGATGCTGGTCGTCGTGCCTGGCCTTCTGCTCCACCTCCGACAGCAGCTCCTTCTGGTCCGTATCGGATGATCTGTGGTCGAGCCAGGCGATGATGTCTTGGAAAACTGCGTGGATGTTGTCGGGCGACTCGCCGGAGGTGAGGGCGTGCCACATGCCCGGGTATAGCTTGAGCGTCTTGTCATGGCTCGCCGCCGATCGGTACAGCAGCTCGCTCACCGACGGGTCCGTCACCTTGTCTGCCCCTCCGTGTACGATCAGGAACGGCAACGACACCTACACGTACGCAACATATATAAATTCTTGAACGTGCCATTGGCACAGTATTCATTAAGCAGAAGAAGAGTTTTACAAATTAAAGCTGGGACGGTAATTTGTGATTACCAAGCCAAACACCAACAAAGCTCACATAGTTGTGATTACAGAAGCATGATGTTAGTATGATTATAAAAGCATGATGTCAGTATGTCAGAGTTTTACAAAAGCATGATGCCCGGGTACGCAACATATATAAATTCATTCAACAAATCAGTATATAGCCATAGGTTGTTACTACTATCAGCGTACCATCGTCTCTTACCAGCCATACATGCACCCAGTTATTCCTAATGTTTGAGTGGAGACAATGTGCCGCAAGTTTTGACTAGGAGAAGATAGTGACAAGTCCCAATCTAACTTTTTGAGTGGAGACAGGACAAAAACAAACACACACACACACTGACACACAACAAAGGGGGTGTATCAAGTCACTCCTAATTAAACGACTTCGGTATGAAAACCGCCAAACCAATAACAACTTACGACTTCACATTCAAGTAATCCTAAGCCAACTCAGTTAAAGCATCGACCCAACTAAGGTCCTGTTTGGTGAAGCTCTAGCTCCTCCATGCACTGCAGTTTTTATCTCTCCTCTCAAAATAAAGTATGAGCTAGTAAAGCCACTATTTTTTCCTTCTTCGGGGAGCCATGCCAAAAGGGGCCTAAAGTCGCTCAATGGCACAACTAAACCACTTGGTCTAGACACTGAAACACCATTGAACTAGGCAACGACTCTATTTGGACTGACTCACATAGCACCCAACTAGCGAAGACTACTGCTCGGTTCTTTGAGAAAGAACAACAAAAAAACTGCTAGAGGTACACTAGAATCAAGAAAAAGCTACCAAACCAGGAAGCATAAGGAAGATAGCCTTGAGCCATGGTGTCGAGTTCGACAAAGGCCTCGACATATAAATAGAAGCTCTAGCTCTTGAAAAATATTAACTCCATCGAGTGCCCGATGAATCACACGTACATGTGGCTTCATGTCGATAATGCCTTCAAGTTCACGACGCATATAGCACTGTCATTGCCAACCCAAGGATTATTGGTCGAGTTCTCACCAAGACAAAACCACCTGAGGAGAAGCGCCACTAAGAAGACACCTTCAATAAGGTCTATGATGCCCATACGCGCCACCGCCAAGGCTCGAGCCCAACCTCCATCGAATCGCTAGGGGAAGGCACCCCAACCAAGCACAACATATATAGCTTAGGCACTGTGGGCACCGGTGTCAGTGTGGCCACCACCATGGCACATGCTGCATGATGCAGCAGAGAAATATGGAGATGGGGGAGGAGGGGTTGGGAGAGGGGAGAGGGGAGAGGAGCAAGATAGCCTATCACTTCCCTTCTCGCTGCTCGACAGACATTTTGCAAGCATTTTTAGTGGCGATGGAGACATGAAGAGTGGTAAGCGGGGGATAGGGCAAGGGAGCTGCCCCATGTCGTCCGATCTTGGATAACATTGGGGGCGAGAGAGTCACTATTATCACATTGAGATAATCATATATCACTCATAGTAAAAAATATCCAATATAACATGGGAGTATTTATTTTTTAATGTAAATGTAATTTTATATTTTTGTATAAAAATATAAAAAGTATTGATGAATGGAATCAAAATATAGCTGGTAATATTTGGACAAATGTTAATATATACTACCTTGGTCCAGAAAGGAATGCAATTGTTTGCATTGACTCGGTACTATGTGAGAATTGCATATTTTTCGGATGAAGGTAGTATCATAGGGTTTCAATATGGCGACCAATATAATTCCAATATCTGATCTCAATCCTAAGTTTGTTTAGGATTTCTTTTAGGCAATGTTTTATGATTTGGACATCTATTTTAATTTGTTCATAATAAGTAGTATATAACACTCTTCCTATTGCAAGCCATATTGGTAGTCAATATTGGAGACTGTCGTGTCTGATGGGGTAGTATTGTACTAGTGTATTCGAGTGCAGTGATAATTTGTGGACTAATCTCCTTGACTGGTCAAAGAAGCAACTAATCGAACAGTGACGTTCTTTATTATATTAGTAGTAAACACGTCGGTGGTTTAACGAACCACTAGTTTAATTTAATTTAGTTAAATTAGTATTGGTCTATTGGATGCAGGAAAGTGTTGAATAGGTTGGTAGATCTCCATCCACATCTATCGTGAATCACATTAATATTGTGGGAAGCAAGATGACGACGAAGGGTCACCCGGCTGGCCCCATGTGATCGATCGATTTGTACAGCTAGGGAAAAGAAAAATGAAATTGAAGACAAGGAAAGATGAATCTGACCTGGTGTAGGAGGTTCTGCTCGAGGTCCAAGCTGACCTTGAGCAGCTCGTATGCGGTCTTGAGTCTGGGCTTGTCCTTGTAGCAGTAAGGGTTGCCCCGGATCTCGTCCCTCTTCTCCTGCGTCTTGTAGGCGGCGTCGATCACGTCGTTGCTCGGCACGATCTTCCACGTCGGGATGATGGAGGTCATGGCCCTGAGGATGTTCACCACCAGCGGGTGCGGCCGCATGTCGTCGGCGATCTTGCACATGGGCGCCACCAGCACGGCGCCGCTCCAGAACTCGGGCCGCCTGAGGTGGAGGAGGAGAGCCACGGCGCCGCCCATGGACTCCCCGAGCAGGAACCGCGGCTTGCTGTCGTCCTTTGACTGCGACTGCGACCGCCGCACCACGGAGGTGAAGTAGTCGTCGCAGTCCCGGACCAGCAACTCGAAATCCGGCACGTAGCCCTGCAGCCCGTCGGAGCGGCCGTGGCCCTCGTAGTCCAGCCCGTACACGGCGTAGCCCGCACGCGCCAGGCGCTCGCCGGTGCCGCGCATCGTCACCCCGCACTCCACGGCGTAGCCATGGCAGAGGAAGACGAGCGCCTTTGGTGTCCTCCTCTTGCCAGGCAGCCATGTGCATGCGAAGAGTCTCGTCCCCCGCGAGTTCCTCACGTACTCCTACCATAGGATATACCAAGTATCAAGCTGTAGACTATCTAGATCCGTGAATCATGGATGGATGGATGGGGTCAGACGGAGGTTACCAATTCAATACCTACCTCTTTGTACTCGTGGTCCAGGAGCACCTCGCCGCCATCATCTGCCCCGCCGCCGTTGCTGCTGCCGCTGCTCCTCATCACGGTCCCGCCGCTGCCGCCGCCCACCGCTGTGCCGCCTGCCGGAGAAGGATTGAAGGAAATTCAACTCTTCAACTGCTTTCAGGGAAGGGAAGACGAAACAGAGGAGAGTTGACTCTCTAGATGATTGATGGGGTATAGATGAGGGCGAATGCCAATGCCAATGCCAAGCAGGGAAGGGGAGGAAGGGATATATATATGTATGTACTCCTACATGCCATCTCTTACTCGTAGGATAAATAAATATATACAGTTATGATATATGCAGGATTATATTGTTCAAACTCAGCATGCGCGCACAAGATTTTTATTTATGTATGTAGCACCTAGCGAGCGTATGATGAATGAATGAATGGACGATCTCCATTCAACAAGAGCAGCAGTCCAACAGATGAAGGAGACCTCTCAACCAACAGAAAGCCAAGCCAAAAAAAAGGACTGGGTCCAACACGAAATACATACAAAGTTCCATCTATATCCATCCATATTGCTGATGCATTTTATTTAACGACCTTGATGGTAGCCTGTGACATTACGAGAGTCTCACATATGTCAACACCATCGATTGTCCACAGATGGATGTCATCTTCTCATACACTTATTACACCCAACTAAGTAACTACAAGTCAGCCCTCACATCAACAAATTAAATGTCAAATCTAGTAACTACATCTGGTTTACTATCGTCTGCCTTTACAAGATGGTATATTACAAATTATCTCTAACAAATAAAAATATGTATTACCATCTACTCAATGTTTTTTTTTTGGCTAACAACATTGTTCTTGTAACCCACTGTTGGATCCAAGCTGGGAAATTGATGGTACCCTCTCATTCAACCATTTGATGATGTCTGAAAACACAATATCAATGTTCTGCTTGGGTTCTCCTGAAGTCAAAGCATGGCACATCCCAGGGTACAGCTTCAATGTCTTGCCCTTGCTCTTCGCTAATGTATATAGTGTCTCGCTTACTGTGGGGTCAGTTACAGCATCGTCACCACCATGGACTATGATGAATGGTAGAGTAACCTATTCGGAATGAAGACACGAACATAGAAACACAAACACGCATTATTGTTTCAATGACAGAATGCAACATACAACATCCATGCAAAATCTAGTTTTATTAACTGATGGATGATATCTTATACAATGATGCAAAATCAGTTGTGGCCACACATGATTTAATTTTCACATTTCTTCCAAACTATTTAGTATCTTTTTGTTCATTTATAACTTTGTAGTGCTTTTCCACGTACAAATAATACGTGCGCATGTGTAGTCCACATGAATCTTTACAATGTTTGTGAAAGCAAGCGTTGTTGTTTTTTGCACATTTACATCATCAAGAACAAACTAATCTCTATGATTATTAAACTACATGTTCAGAAGAAGGCAAATTTTGCTCAAGGACACCGTTCTTATATGGTATTTGTTGATACACACCGCCCCTTGAATTTGCCCAGTATATACCATTATGAAAAAGCATGCATTTTTAATCAGTTGACACTACAGCCATTAAAATAATTATTCATCCAAAATGTCTAGCGCTCAAAATTTGTTAGGTTGGATGCACACAAAACCTCTAATGCCATTTTTTTATCCCCAAGAGTGTTGTAAGAACAAACACAATGATAACTTTCCTCATACCTTATCAAGATTGCTTTCAATATCCAAGCTTGCCATGAAAATTTCATAACCAGTCTTTAGCCTAGGCTTTCCTTTGTAGCAATAATGATTGTTTCTTACCTAATAATAAATAATGGTATTAACAAGTAGCACAAAAAATGTTTTCATTGAAACATATTAGCTTTTAGGATTGAGTCATCCTATCTTTTATCATACCTCTTCACGCCACTCCTCGCTTTTAATTGCCCTATCTATGATATCTTCATTAGGAATGATTCTCCATGTAGGGATCACATTGTTGAGCTTACTTAAAATTGAAATCACAATGGGGTGAGGCTTCATATCTTCTACTATCTATATGAATGTTAGCATCAATAATCAATATCATAATCAAACTTACAATACATTATAGTGTGCTCTGCCGAACAACTATAGGCAACTTATCAACAAAGATGCCAACGCACCTAAAAGAAATTGAAAAAAAAAAGACAAATTGTTGGGAAGTAACCTTGCACATCGGAGCAACCAAAATGGCCCCATCCCAAAAGGTAGGTTCCTTTCTATGAAGTGTAAGTACAATTGCTCCCCCCATGGACTCTCCAAGCAATAATCTCTTTTGTTTCTTATACTCTTCTTTCTCTATATAAGGGGAATTAGACTATTAGTTTGTAAAAATGTTACATCAAGTCTAATAATAGACTGATAGGAATTTCATATACATTTTTTTAAGTTTTTTCTTAAAGCGAGTGGTCAATTTTTAAGAGAAAATAAATGGCTTCTTATGAATGTGGGTAAAAAAGGGTGACATAACAGGACATCTATATTAATTTTGTAAAAACATACCACAGACACTTGCAAAGTACTTAGAGCAACCAACCACAATATCATCAAAACTACTAATATATCCTTGAAGTCCAGAAGACTTTCCATGGCCTTCATAGTCCATTCCATGTACTACAAATCCAGCCTGTGCCAACCTTGTACCTGTGACTAAAAGTAATAATCCCAATATATATAAGCTAATCATGAGAAATTTTAAATATTTATGCTACATATGTTAAAATATAATTATATTACCCTAATTTGACATTAAGAGTTTTTGGGATTTTTTTTATTCATGTTTCTACCATAGTTAGTCTAAACTCATCACTATTCATTCACGATCAAGATACAATTCATGTTTTTACCACAGTTAGTATAATCTCATCACTATTCACTCACGATCAAGATGCAATGATATTGTTATAATTTTAAGTAAAGGTGCACATGGAATTCACCAAATTATAATATTTACCTCTCATTCAAATACTGCATTCCATGGCATATCCTAAAAAAGGTAGCAAGAAATAAAATACATATGTAACCAAAGGCAGCTTCACTTGGATTGGAAAATTAAAAAACATCACATTAGTAACCTAGTTACCATGGCATAGAAAGATCAGGGCTTTTGGTTCAGAGTTCAAAGGTCTCCATTGGCATGTGAAGAGATTAATTCCTTGTGCATTCAATACATATTCCTAGAACACAAAAATCCAAATGGATAATATTGAGAGGAAACATGGTATGAGCTTTAATGAATGGCTCTTCATATCGGCTTGAAAAGTAAAAACATAAATCAAAGTATAAATTATAAGAATAAACAAAACAAATTGACCTCATCATACTTGATATCAGCGTTATCCATTTGCTCTCGAATGGAAGTGACAACACCAAGGCATAAAACAAATCTGTACACATGCAACTTATATATTTAGGAATGGACAAAGAGAAGCAGGTATGAGGTACCCCATTGTGAGGATAGTTTAATTTGAAGGTAAGTAGTTTTGTGTGGTGGTCTTTTTATGCATGCATGGAAACATGAATTGTGTGGTAGAGGCTTAGTTACATTTATGCGGTCTAAGTTTAGCCAAAAAATTATCTTTTCCATAAGCTCATTTTGAAATTTTATTCTATGGATTAGCATGTTCAAACTACCGGATAATCATTTTTGTACTTATAGCTAGAGTATGGTTTTATTTTGCTAGACAAGAGATCGATTAGTGGTTCACATCAAGAATATTCTTTTTCATTTTGTAGTTGAATCAAATCTCTAAGAATTTTAGAATGGTCTGAGACCAAGAAGTCATTCATGCCTCTCTAACAAGCTAACTAAGTTTCCATGCATACACTCAGGGGTCACCCTTTGTCTGTGAGGAAATTACTAAGCCTAAGTTGTTCTTTTCATTCACAAAGTGGCTAATAAGTTACCAAGTGTGAAGGTTGAGCTTATCACAAAGGTTGTGTTTTCCTAGCCTCTATCCCCATCTATTTGAGAAAATCCTTATTTGAGATTAAAAAAGATGAACTTCGTCTTTCTTTGGCCCTGGAAATTTCATTCTTTCTCATTGACACTAGACTTATCTTTCGTTCCTTATTCGACACTTTTGTCACTTCTATTTACTTCTTCCATTAAATGACCCTGTGGATCGTGGTGGAAAGACAAAATTACACCTGGCTCCCCATACTTCAACAATTCCACTCCATCCACAAAAAAACACCTGACATTGAATCACAGCGTAGAATCAGCAAGCATTCATGACTATGTAGGTGGGTCAAGACTGGTGATCATATGACGTTGTCTTGGGCACCGTGGGCACACCGTACCGCCTCGGTGGAACTAGTGCTACTTCATCGCATTGGGGCTGAACATGTGGCTTGGGAGGCGCCTCGCGCCAGCTCCACACTCCGATAGTGTGACAGGGTATCATCGGGCATGGCAATAGGTGTTGGAGGTTTTGCAATGCCGGAACGCTGCCATGTGTAGGATCTAAGTAACCGGCTAGAGGGGTGAACAAACGGTGACCACTAAAAATTCATAGCACTAGGAAAATAATTAGTAACACAAAACGCCTAACACACTACTTTCACTATGTCAGGTGAAGGTTTGAAATGTAGGGTCACAAACAACAAATCAAGTCTAGGAATGTAACGGTGCAAAGTAAAACCTGAATGAAACTTGAGATCAAGAGATCGCCACAATGGACACACTACTTTGTCCCATGGTATTGATGACTTGCTGACCATCGCTGATCCATGTTGAGGTGGGTTCAATGTTCACTAATTCTCTATCAAGTCTTCACTTGATCTCTAAGCCAGATAGAACATGAGAATCACTCCACACCTCCTTTCTACTAGAGTTTCTCTTCACCTCCTCTAGTGGGGTGAGCACAAAACCCCTTATAATTAATCTTTTGGAGCACCAACACAATATCTTCTTATTGTGCTTCAATGGAACCATGAGCTCCAAGCCATCTTGGAGGCATTGACCTCCAAGAGTAACAAGATAATGATGGTTGTTTGAAGTCTCTAGTGCCATAGAGAGCAAGTGAGGCTGCAATCGATGAACCAATAAGGCCATGTGAAGCTGTGAAGTGGATCACATCATTCAAGAAATCAAACCAAGTGTTGATTCGATATGATGATCAAGTGGATTGGAGAGTGATGGAGGAGCTTCATGCTATGGGCAATGGTTAGGGTAGCGTGGTTGGCTACATTGATGGATGACCATTGTTCATCATTTAATGAAGATGGAGGTTGTATGCCTTTGTGGCATCACTGACAAAGGAGATGGAATGGAATAGACAAGGTAAAGGTATATTTGTAGGACATTTTAATTTCACCAGTCGAAGGTTGAGTAGAGAAGTGCTCGACGAGTTTAGGATAGATAGTCGTACTATCAAGAGAAGCATTTATGTGAGCTAAATGGTTATCTAGTGCCACTAGGTGATATCTAATTGTGAACCATTTATACCAAGTGACATGAAAATGAGCAAGTGAAAATCCTTTGAAAATGAATTTGAAAATGCTAGCTTAGGGCCAAAGAGGTTGTTTTCATGTTGGACAACATGTGGAAGTGTCGGCGCAAAAATGTGTCGATGCGCCGAGCACACAGCAAGCCAGAAGGATCTGCTTGACGGAGCAAGGCTAGAGATCCGCTTGGCTTCAACGTAGGACCAGTCGACCCTACGAATTCCTCTCGAGGGCGTGCTAGTCAATTTGACCTGCAATTGACAAAGAGAGAAAGTTTATCAGTAATTTAAGGTGGAACATGCCGGTCTTGCCCAGACAGTTCCAAGTGTGCCACTTCGAGAGCAGCCAGTGTTAGCCCACTGGATCTTCAACACAGAGATGTCCGACCACTCACTTATGTTGCCGAGCACGTACTAGTGATGCTGACCATGAACTATCGTTGTCCTCCCTCTGGTCATAGTGTGTGGTCAGACAACGTTAGTCGTGGTCGGCAACGCTGGTGAGTGGTCGACAACACCGGTGATCCAGTGGGCCAAAAGCTAGACAGGAAAAACACAGATGTAAGTAAAATCATTAGCTAGACAAAATATAACCAGTATGAAGCATTGAGTCGATGAGTCTGACAAGAAAGGATATAACATGCAAACAAATCGACTGTCTAATACGAACAGTTCTACAAACGCTCCAAATCTAATCTGCTATCATCAACATTGAGGTTCGACCGGATCGATGCAGCTATGATGATAACAACAAACTAAAGCCAAAGAATTCACAAAACCATCCATACCCTGATAGGTTTCTGAAAGACATGCTATATCTGTGAAGGCGTAGACGAACCGGCTAAAAGAGCCGATTCTGGTAGAAAAAGGGTCACAGCATATGAACAATCGACTATTCAATACGAGCAGACCTATCAACTCCTCAAACCTAACATATCATCTTTAACAATGGGGTTTGACCGGATCGATGGCAGCCATAATAAAGATAACAGATTAAATCTTTAAAGAAAATAGATCTACTCATATTTAACAAGATCATGAAGACATACTATGAGCATTAAAGTGCAGGCGATTGGCTATTTAGCCGATGCAGGCATAGCAAACAGCTAAGGTCACGCCTGATCGGGAACAAATCTACCAACTAGCATCCTCCAATATAAAGTGCCATCAGTGGGGATCGATCGGATCGTTGCAGCCATAATAGCCAACTATAGACCAGATTTAACTAGCCAGCAAACCTCTTCAAGATCATACGTGCCTTAACCGCGTACTATGCGCGATCAAGATCGAGGTAGAACAGCTAATAAAACGTAACCCGTCGCTCAAAGTAAGAAATATCGTATTGTCACAAAGCAAACGATGGACTAAAAGAATATGATGCCGATCTAGTTCGATCTTGTTCGGACAGGTTGATGTTGTTGAAAAGCTATTGACAGTAAAAACATCAGCAAGATCGGTAACTTAATGAATCTACCCAAAGTACGCCACCCTTAGGTAGAGCCAATAACTTTACCTTAATCTAATTCGAGCAATGGAGGTCGAACTTAACCGATGCAGCTTTACAAAGCAAAGTATAAGCCATGACGGTACTTACAGACAAGCCGAAGGTCGGTCGGACCGATGCATCCCTGCTTGTTGAAGAACTCATCGAGATCTACATTACTCCTACTACTAAGGGTTGGCACGGGGCTGAAAAAAGTAATTTGTATTGATTGATTGGATGTCCTTTCACAATAGCCGGAGTCCAATATTTATACCCAGAGCCTAAGCATAAATCCTACTCAAGTACGACTCCTTACAATCTTTGGTATAAAAGACAACATTCCTAACTTAAGATAACTTGGACCCTAATATTTCCCTTTTTGTAGAGTCCGACATGTATTCCCCGATGCCAACCGTAGCTCATTGTCGTTATCTGCTGACGTCATTCGTAGAAAGCCGATTCCAGTGCTGCATCTGAATCAATAGATATCGATCCTTATTCAATCGATTCCTTGATTGATACAACCTTGGAAGCTTCGAGTTCCCACGTTCTTCTTCCCAAATTTTGGTGTAAACACATGCCCTCTAATTTTGGGATAAAAAAGATTTTATTCCAAAATTCCTATTCACCTGTTTACCTCGTCGCAACCGTTTTATTTCGAGATATATGCGTGACTCCTG